TTCGAAAATAAGTGAACGTATACATTTCAGTGCACGCGACTGTACCATGAATTTGATTCAATACAGTTCGTTATAGAATTTCAAATTGACATTTCCGAGAATGACAATGTGTATAAGGAACTTGAGTTTGAGCAACGGTACTTCATGACAGTCTCCAGTGCCCGTGACATGCTGAGCGGAAGCACCTCTTCGGAGTCAGGCGAAGGCGAATCATCAAGTGCAGGTTCTAAGCGTGGGCTAAGCTTCAAGTCACCTATCGTACATTTACCTACCTTTTCTGGGCAGCTACAGAATTGGCTTGAATTCCATGATACTTATAACTCTTTGATTCATTTAAATGACACTATAGCTAAAACAAAAATTTCATTATTTGAGGTCCCCTCTAAAGGATACTGCTAAACAATTTCGTCTTTGGACTTTTCTGCTAGCAACTATGATGTTGCATGGCAAACAATACGTCTGATGCGCTAATTCTCGCAAAGTGAGAAAAAAAATGACGGCTCCGATGCGAGGCGAAGTGCGGGGGCGGGCCGGCTGTGCTTTTTTGTCGCATGCGTTAACACTGTGTGTGTAAACAAAAAACGGTAAAGTAAGGAACATAACAAACTAAATAAATAATGAATATAACAAACGGCTTATATCTAGCTAATGAAGTAACTGTAACTTATGTGTGCAGCTAGCTAAAAAGTTCCAGCTTAGTGCGAGTTTTGCCAAAGAGCAAAGTACATGAAGAAGAGTCCACGGGAAGAACGATCATAGAAATTATTTGAGGAGAATTTTAAGAAAAAAGATTTTTTTAATCTGGTGAATTTGTAAATATTAGTGAAAAAGACACGTACAAATGCCATGTGATATAATATAAAGGCAATGCTGACATAAATGCATGTAACGCTATGTAATCCATTTTAAGTAAAAACATTCACAAATGATTTTTAACTTTTCTATCATTTAGTCGCATGCATTTTTATGACTAAAAGTAAAAGCTAATTCTTAAGGATATTGAACCTTATTAGCCTTTTTCTGACTTAGGCAAAGTACGCTCAGCGTTTACCGAACTGAATATTAACTAAAAACTAAAAAATAAATAGAATAAATAGAAAAATCTTGTAGAAATTATCTCGCGAGCAGCGCGACAAAACTGTGACGTAAACTGTCACTCCTCCCGCTCCGCGCAGTTACGTCAGGAACCGACTCAGTTAAGCAGTCGACCTGTAGTTAACCTGTTTCAGGGAATGGTACCTGAAAATAAAAAGGTACAGCGAGTTCGTCAGCAAATCTCTGCATTGGCCGCTGAAACAAGAAAGACGTGCGGAACCATTTCGCCTCGCCGCAGCACTCCTAATTGTTCGGTAGTATTTACGACTTATTAATGAATGATAAATCATCTGAAGTAGCTTCCAAAAGGGGTTTGTGTTGAAATTAGACCTGCTTAGTAATTAATTTCTTAGAATTCTCGTTTAACTTAGAGATACTTAATAAAAAATATTTTAAAGTTGCATCTGTCTGTAACTTTGTCCTTATATTCCAGACAATTCTAGTTGAAAAACAGCCAAACGTCCAAAGAACAAAAGTTCAAGGTAGGTATTTTAGGTAGGTATAGTCAAAGCACGTCAAGCTTAACACTTAGGTTTTGGACCGTTTTTATTGTAAGCATTGTAGACTTGAATTTCAATTTTGTGTCAAGCATGACGTGCTCTTGATCGTATCTTTCAATAGCCTTCAATAATTCCATAATGTTGCAGTATTCTTACAGAAAAAACTCGTACGCGGAATTCTATGAACGAACATAAGATGCAGAAGGGTGTTAGATCATTCTCCTCAATGGATGTAGACAATTGTGAATGCACGCCCATTCTGTTAGCAGCGTACAGTCAGGCGATAGACCACTACCGTGCAGTTGGTAAGAACTTTAGACAAAGGCTAACAAGTTAAATTTAGACCCTGGCATGTTGCGTAATCTGATAGAACTTTATCTAGCTGAAACTACGTTGTCTTCGCGGATAGCACGTGTACATTGCAGTTAAAAGCGCTACCATTTTAGGGCTTAAAAGTAAAATAAGCAGTCTAATAATAGGTAACATTGACGCATTTATTTATTAGATACATTTCAACTGCCTCGGTGGCCGAACGGTTACCATGCCGGACTGCGACGCAGAGGTCCCAGGTTGGATTCCCGGGCCGGGAGAAATATTTGTATGGCCTACATTTATTTCTCTCGTGAGTTTGGGTGTAATTTGTGGTTGTCTATGTGTGTGTCCATGGCACCTGCGACACAGGGTTTCCCTAGTGCGGGGCTATGTTAAGTGTGTGCGTTATTATTATTATTATTAACTGCGTCTGAAATTCAGGTGAATGCGAAAAATTAGTCGAAACGTGTATGGAATACAGCTACATAAGTCAAAAAAATCAGAACATACCAGAGGCTATTAAACTTTTAACGGAAGCAGAAGAATTTGTAATGGACGTAAGATTTAATTACTTTAGTTTTTATGTCTATCTTTGTTGTACAATATATCACTAAATACGAGTTCTTACGTTTGCGTAAATTACCTCCTTACATTTAACCAGTTTTTGTCTAACAGGTTAGTAAAATCTGCACCAATAAACTGTTATGTCACACATCATGGATAAAAGATCTGCGACTTGCTCAAATTCATACCGATCGAGGGCAATGCATGTTGGAGTCGTGTGAATACGACGAGGCCCAAAAACATTTGATGCAAGCCCTGAAGTTGCATCACATCTCGTTCCCGACCAACGCGTAACTATGTTGTAGCTATTCGATTCTTCGGGGAAGATAGGGCGTAAAAGCCAATTTATGTAATTTCGATCCGTCTCCTAAAAAATTATATAATTATCCAAAAAACCGACTTTTTGCCTAAGAATAATTTTTACTTCTAATTGAAAAAAATTGAAATTGAATCTATTTTTCCGGATTTAAATCGCGTATATTTGTTTTTTCAAACAAACCAATAACGTTTCGGCCCTTTACTGGTCATTGGTCACGGGGTTGAACGGTTACATCCGGAAAAATAGTTATTTCCTTTGTGTAACAATCGCGAAAACCTAAGAACTTGATATGAAAAATAATAAAAAAAGTGAAACCTCTAACATATTTTTGATGATGGATTTGATTACTTTTGGGACAACTGACGGCGGTTACACAGCCGCCATCTTTTTTGCGTTTCACTTGCATCTGGATACAAGCACGATATTTAAATAATTATGGATGTGTGACATACATCCATGGAAGGGACAAAAAATTGATCAAATAATGATTTGACCACCTGATTAATTGTATTATTATTACTATGAATTATTATAATAGATTCAGATACAATGTTTTTATTTAAAATTAGTAAATGTTTCATTTAATATTGGCGTTTTTTTTAATTAATTCTTCTGACATATAAACATATTTTTTTCTTGTTAAGAAGGTGTGGTCACACACACTGAAGTGACATTTTCGGCATTTTGAAAATGAATTAAAAAATAATAAACATTAAATTAACCCATTTCTTTTCTTAAATTACAGATTTTTTTACCTATATACTTCATTGACACGAAACATAATTTAGACATTTGGTTACTACCAGTTATAAAATTGATAATCACACTATTGTTTTCAAAAATGAGAAATACCTGTAAATAAATGACTCGAGCTAATTTTGGACTGTGGCTTTTATGCTCTTTCTTCCTCGAAGTATCGAAAATTTCGTACCTTTTTACTTGGATTACCTAACTAAGTAGTCTGTCGATTAATTTAACGAAATGAATAAAAAAATGAACTATGACTAGTAGTTTCACCTAGATCAGCAGACATAAATCGAGTAAATACTTATAACAATATCTATAGAGCTAGTCCGAGGGCGCAACTTGTGCGAGAGCGACTTATAGCGCGGGATCTCTATGCGAGAACAGCAGTAAGCGGTTTATATCGCGCCCGCGCAAGTCGCGACCTTTCATGCTAGCCCTACCGATATTGAACTTTGCTTAACGTATAGATGCAGAATAAAACTACAAGATATAAAGGAATCTAACCATCAGTGGATGGCAATGTGCATGCCTCGATTTTACATCGGTGTGGAGAAGGGATATAGAGCCCAGTATTTCGAATGCGTTGGTAGAACGATGAGCACATTGTATAACTTGTTCGTTGTGAGTTAATTTCATTCATCAAATGCAACAACGGTGATTTTTCTTAACCAGCTTTTCACAAACTGGGTGTTTTCTAGGTACTCCGAAAAGAGAAAATGGCGCAATTAGCTGCAAAATGGTCTCTAAATTACCAATGGAAAAGTAATAGCAATTTTAGGCAGTTGTGCATGTCTTACTCTCAAATGATCACCGTGTATAGGAAAGAACATAAAGTAAGTTTGTTGTAGTTGCAGTTGGTCGAAAACGATTTAGACTCGTTATTGATAAGACAGATCGAGTGACTGTTTGTCCACCCGGAACGAAGCAATTGTTCTTCGTCTTTGTTAGTCAAATAATCGCTTATTCCGTACGTAAAATAAATTTACACTTGAAAACGTAATGTTTTGGTACTGCTCGTTCACTGTGCTGATTTCCCTGAAAAGTACGAACAAGAAAGTCTAGGGATTGCTCTTTTGAAATAAACTTAAATGCTATGGAATACACTTTCCAAAATGTATACAGTTTCTCTTAAAAGAAACGAAATCGTGGCAACGTGAGTTCCATGTTTGATCTTTCTATCAAGTAATAACAATAAATATCTTTATTTCTCTCCACAATACAAAACAAAGGAACATCATAGTAGAAACATATTATATGGTTATATTATATGGTTTGAGTAATGCATTGTGGGAGACTGAAGCCCAAACTAACATAACAACAAGCTAGTATTTTCACAAAAAATAATTACAGAACATCATAGTAATAAAACTATATAACGTAACTAGAAGATAATATTGATATTGGCGCTACAAAAATTTCAGCATTCAAAGTGCCTGAAATTGAAGAAGATGGCTATGGAAATGTGTCACCGCAAAAAAGGTAAACTAGATGTGACTGAAGTATACGCCGTGGTCTCGCTCTATACAAGCATATTCCAGTTTTAGTGAGTAATTAGTTCTAAAGGGTAGATAGTCAGTCGACGCCCTAAGATACCTTAGAGTGGTTACACACGGTACTTAGCAGGGACGCAAACGCGCGTTATTGAAAAGCGCGATTGCATCGCTATACTTACGATTTATAGACGATTGCGTCGATACAAACTCGCGATTGCATCGACGTAATCGCTTATAAACACCAAGTGTAGCGATGCAATCGCGCGTTTGTATCGATGCAGTAGCGCGCATGCGTCGCTGCTTAAAATCGTACGTATGTGTAAAGGTAGACGATTAGCGACTGCATCGCGTTTGCATCGCTGCGAAAAGTCGCTGTGTGTAATAAATAGCTCTTACCCTCGAAGCGTCTATTTGGTTCTGAGTAGATCAGTATGAGGAAAGGTGTTAAAATAACTTAACCTTTAAGCAGTGACCCTATAATTCGTTGTGTTAGTGAATGACATTTTAAGAAACTTTTTAAGCCAATTTGATCTTTAATTACCTACCACTTTATATAAATACAAATTTCAACTAAAAAGCTGCAATTTCTGTACACTTTTAGAAACATAGACACTACACTGTAACATGCGTCTGAAGCTCTCAGAACCAAAAGGTTGGCTAGGGAATCAGGTTTCTTAACGCATCGATTTTAAGGAGTAGAGTACATAACTTATAAGGAATGAAACGCCAATTAATCGAACAGATTAACTCGGAAAACATTATAAAATACCTATCAACAATCAATAGAAAACAAAACAAACACCTCAAAAAGCAAGAACAAAAACAAAACATCGAAGTGTGTGATATTGTGTGAGCAAGCAGTTCTGCTAAACCAAATAAGGTTCTTGATAGTATGTTATGGTACATTAGTTATCGAAATTTTTTTTTTATAATATCAAGTGACGGGACGAACAAGTCGTGCGCTGATGGCGCTACACGCCTGTCCATAACATCTGAGGGGCACTCTCACTGCTCCCATCACCCTGAGACATTAATTGACAAGTCCCATGTGCCTGCAATTTCACCAGCACACTTATCCTTTGTCGCCAGTGGGAACAAAGCGGTGACGAGTGGGAATAAGCGCCGAACTCATTCACAGGGAGCTCTACTGCTACTAAAAATAAAGATTTTACTTAGATTCCAGAACGAACTTACAAACAGAACACAAACACAAACATTTTTACACCATTTTATTTCATTCAATTGAATCAAAATAAGTATTTTTTTCGGATTATTCTTATTTATATCTTATAAATATGTATATTAGTAGCAGTAGAGCTCCTTGTGAAAGAGTTCGTCCAAGGAAGCACTGCCACTTACCTATTTCTGCTGTTAAAATGACTTCCCAAAAACTGTGTTACGGTTTTGAAGGGTGAGGGTGCTGATGAAATTACAGGCACATGGGAGTTGTCAACTTATGTCTCAGAGTGACGGACGCAGTGACAGGGCCCCTCAGAGCTTTGCGATTTAAAGCTCTGAGTGGCACTGCAACTATTATGGACAGACGTATAGCTTACCATCAGACGCACGACTTGTTCTTGTTTATAAAAATGAATCTTCATGCGTGAACGGCCTCAGAACGTGCCACCCTTAGAGTTGAATGATTTTTTCAAAATTAAATGGGACTACTATGGAGATACCCTCTTTCCAACAAAAAAAGAATCATGAAAATCGGTTACAAATACCGGAGTTATCGCGTAACATACATACAAAAAAAATACATACAGTCGAATTGAGAACCTCCTCTTTTTTTAAAGTCGGTTAAAAAAAGCACTAGGTTTATGGTGAACTGACTTTGAACCTACACATGAAGTTTACATATAATTACCTAGTTTTATTGAAATCGGTTACCGGGTAGTGCGCAAACCCGGATTCATCCCCTAGTTCGCCACTAAAATATAATATCAATCGGTTCTCACTTGGCAAAGTACATCGAGAGAGAAAAATGCCTTGAATTGGAGAATAGCAAAATCAACCATTCAAATAATTGTTGCTTATAATAAAAATTAGGCGCTATTTATAAAAATGAATCTTCATGCGTGAACCGCCTCAGAACGTGCCACCCTTAGAGGTGGATGAGTTTCTTCGAAATTAAATGGGACCACTATAGAGATATCCTCTCTCCAACAGAAAAAGAATCATGAAAATCGGTTCACAAATACCGGAATTATCGCGTAACATATACAGGTTGTCCCGGGACGCGACGTCAAGCCGGAACGGGGTGATAGGCCAGGTCATAACTGTTATCAGAAAAATAAAAAATAAAATCTATGTCATGTATTTTAAAAATTATGACCATTTTGAAAAAAATCGAAAAATATACACCCTGTGACGCATTTTCACTTCCCGTTTCTACAAATTTCCACTTTATTTTAATTTTTTTATTATTTTGTAACCCTGAGTAATGCTCCTGTAGCTAGTCGTCTAAAATTTTGACACAACTGCTCTAATTTTGAAAAAAAAATGACACATTATTCCCATATCAAAAGAGAAATTGAATTTTCGTTCAATTTCAACTCACTCTACCGAAAAAAAAATGTATTACACTGGTTGGGCAAGTAGCTTTAAAAGTTGGCGCATTTTAAGAGGATTCCAAAATGGTATTACACTTGCTACTTTATTTCTTAGATTATGGTGAAATAATTTTTTTTGTGAACAAAACCGGTTTTCAACTATTTTTTATTTCTTAATTTAAATTTATTTAGTGTACCCAATCCTTCGCTCGGAACGGTAACTATGACATAATTCTTAACGGTAACTATGAGAGAGACGGAGAGAGCTATTCTACGAAGTGTGAGTGAGATAGAGAGTGACGCCGCTAATGTGTGA